TGCATGGCTCTGCAACCACTCCTACTGTTTTCCAAAATTGGCTTTTATATTTGTTATTCAACGCCACACTAAGCAGTTTTCTAGCTATAGTATCACCAGAAATTATTGAGAATTTTAGGAATATGCTGAATTGGACTTCTAGTATAAACAACTTTGACCAGTTATCAAGTGCTTGGTTTCATTCAAGAGAGACAACTCCGTTAATCCTTTTTCATTAGTTTGTGAAGAGTTATCCCCCTTTGTTTACTTGCTGGCGGACGACATTTTCAGTGATCCTCTGTATGGATGATTTAGAGAAGAGGAAGTTGATTTTAGAGTATAATAACAAGGACATCAGATCAGCTAAAGTGATTTCAAGTAGAACAGGCATCCCTTTGTCCACTGTTTATCGTGTTATGAAAAATATTGCAAATGGATATGGCATTGAGCACCAGGGAGGCGCAGGTAGGCCCAGAAAATTGACTGTCGGTGACAGGAGGCGTCTTGGTATTCTTGTTTCTAAAAACAAACGAAGGAGTTTAGAAAACTTAAGGCTGGATATGATTGATAGAGGAATTGTGGCTGTCTGTAAGGAGACAATTAGAACTGAGCTGCATGCAATGGGTTGGCAGAAAAGTCGAGGAATTCCTTCACCGATCATGAAACCTGAACAAAAGGAGCGAAGGTTGAACTGGTGCTTACAGCATAGAAATTTTAACTGGGACAATGCGATTTTCTCAGATGAAAGTTCTGTGTGGCTCTTTCCTAATACACTAAAATTCTGGACCAAACAAACTGAAAAACATTTGTATCAGCGCCCAAAGTACAGTCCGAAATTTAACGTGTGGGGTGGCATATCTGTGTTAGGGGCAATGCCTCTCGGTCTCTTTGAAGGGAATATGAACGGTGAGCAGTACACAGATATTTTCGAGGGACATTTACTTCCATCTGCTCACGTGTTCTATGGACATTTTTGGATTTTCCAGCAGGACAACGACCCAAAACATCGTTCAAAGCATTCACAGGCCTGGTTTCGGACCCAAAATTTGACATTATTAGATTGGACAAGCTATAGCCCTACCCAAATCCAATAGAAAATATTTGGGGATTATGAAGGAAAGTGTCAATAAGCAAAATCTGACAAATATTGCTGAAATGAAAGAAGAGGTGGTCCGATATTGGGACAGCATGGACCACGACTTTCTAAATTCTTTGATCTGTAGTATGCCCCGCCGCACTGAAGCCTGCATCGCTGTCCATGGTGACTTGACAAAATACTAACTGTTCACCTGTCTTTGAATCTGGAGTTATGTTCTGCTAATATTCACATTTAATACGTGAGTAATGAGTGAAAAAAATAAAAAAATTACAATCTTTAAATTCTCAATAATTTCTTGTACTGTATATGTCAACAGCGTGTCGATAATACAAAAATTGGACCGCACAATCCAGTCATTTATATCATGAATAAAAATGAGTTTCCTTCCTGCATGATTCAGTGAGCTCCTTCTGTATGAACTGAAATGTTGGTGGGTAGTTATTCTTACTAAAGTTGAAAATGATTCGTTTTGACAGGATAATTGCAAAGTTTAAGGTATTGTTATTTTTCGATGGATAGCCAACAAGAACGGGGTTTTTTGGATACTGTTACCGGTGCTTTCCACGTCTCTCCAGATGGAACTCACTTTGTTGCATTCCCAGAATATATGTATGACATCTTCCATTTCTTTAGAACGGTAACTGCATTTTGTATTGTCCACGTAACCCATCTTAGTGAGAAGGCAGTTGGTTAGCAAGATATGATGTAAGATTTGTTATTGGAACCACTGTAGTTCAGTCACATTCGGACACTAAACGGGATAGAATTGATACTCTTCCTATCTTGTTCGTTACTATCATGTCCAAGGACATGCTCCCATTTAGCGAAGTGATTATTTCTCTCGCATATTTATTAAATAAGTATTGTATTACTGTGAACAAGTTTTTGTTTGCAGATGGTATATATGAAATGGTAAATGGAAGATTGTAGGAAAGTGTTTAGTTTTGGTAATCGTTGGATTCTTCAGAATTGTTTCACAGCTTGAACAACACCTGTGTAGGTTAGATAAATAGTTGTTACGTCGAAAACAGTTTGGAAAGTTTCGAATGGCATGAATTATCCTTTATTATCTACAAGCTCGTTGATGTAACGTACCCTATTTACAAACCAATCGTTGTAAAATATGCTGGTATGTCCTATTTTTATGTTCTCGTTACACCATATATACTGTGCTAAAATGTCCTTATCATTTATACTCGCCACGTGGATGTTATCTATGAAGTTTCATAAGGTCTTTGTAGTATGCATTTCGTATCCGTATATCATTTGTAGTCTTAGTTTCTTAAGGTAATTTCACTATAAGGGCCAGAATTATTGAAGAAGAATAATGGACACCACTTTGACGTTGAATTTGATGCTCGACGTACCATTTCTATTTATTGTGCTTGGATTATTTCTAGTATATTGGCGCATTTTATACCCCATCTCATGTTTCACAAATAATCTGGCTTCTCCTTACTTTGTCAAGTTTATTTTCCCAAATGAACGCGAAACACTTTTTATAAAAAGCCTAATAAACCTATACCTGGTGGATCTGGAAGAGATGAGAATAAATGGTTGCATTTGGGAAGAATAAGATATTTAAGTATGGTACTTCGCCCAAGTGGTGTCAAATTTCTTGAAACTCATGAACACATGCTGGTTTCGCATTTTCTAAATGTTTTGTCATAGGTCAAGTCAGTCATTTCGTCGAGATCAGTACTGAATTTTATTCCAAGTACATCGAACGGATCTTGTCTCCAACCAAGGTTCCAGGGTTAGGAATCACCTACAACTCCTAAATATTTAGGAGCCTTACCGGACTGCGTTATCGGGACGAGATTCTGGCTCTTATAGCTGTACCATTCCTGCAAGCCATGCATGGCTTTTATGGTCGACCCTCTTTACGACAAGACGACAACGCTAGGCCTCAAAAGGGTCAGGATTGTCACGGAATTCCTTAGGCAGCAGGGTGTAGAGCAGATGGAGTGGCCAGCATGCTCGCCAGACCTCACCCCAATTGAGCTTGCCTGGGAATAACTAGGTCGATCTCAGCACCAGTGGATCTCCAAGGACTCCGCAGAGCTCCAGTAGACGAATGGAATGCGATTCCGCAAGCTTTCTTTCTGAACTTCATAAGGATCATGAGAACAAGGTGCACCTGTGTCTTGGACGCGCGAGGAGGGTATACAAGATATTAAATGTCTGAGTGCTTCATGCTACTCATTTTCATTTTGGGGGTTGGTCTTTACAACTGATATTTGCTTGTGCCCTTTGAACTTTTAGTCTGTATGTCACGTTTGTCAGCAGTTAACATTTTAAAGATTATGATGACACTCTTAGTTCTATTATTTCTGAGAAACGTTTCTTTACATGAGCTATATTACCATGAGACCCTTTATTAATGACGCCTAGTATATATTTACCGTTGGTTTCCGTTTGGGGCGGGAGGTGTTTTTTCGACAGGCTACTGATCATCATCTTCTCATAAATATCACAAGTAAGGTCTAGAAGCCGATTTTTTCAATTTCCAACAGAACTTGTGTTTACACAGTTGTTATTAATCCGGTTGTCATACACACCATAGATCCATGACACAGCAACACACTCCAGAGTACATATCACCATTGGTCCAAGGGAGAATACATACCAGTCTACCAGCTGAAACATGTACGGCCCTCCCTGCAATATAAAGGACATCTGTATTGTTATATGGTAGTGTTATTCATTGTGGAACACTATTGCAGCTGCATTACTTTGTTTCTGTTTACTGCAATACAAGGTAAGCCTCTTTCTACCTTAAAGAAATATATACTATTAATTACTACCCTAATACTACTACCACTGCGCCACTACACTTACTTTCACAACCACTGCCTGAACTAATAATATTCTATAACAATTTCACGCTTCACTACCACAAATCCACAATGCTCGTAATGCTCCCATCATAAATGTTCATGACTGAGGATTCTCTCCGCTTTGACTTGTTCCACCCCGCATTTTCTGCTACTTCGGGACATAGATATGCTTCATTCCATTCTTACTTTGACTTGCGAAATTAGTGAGTATGTTTAGTTTTACGCCGCACTCAGCATTATTCCAGCTATATGGCGGCGGTCTGTAAATAATCGAGTCTGGACCAGACAATCCAGTGATCAACAGCATGAGTATCGATCTGCACAATTGGGAACCGATGAGATGTGTCAACCAAGCCAGCGAGCCTGACCACCCGATCCCGGTAGTCGCCTCTTATGACAAGCATGGGTTGCTGAAGGTACATTCTAACCCGGACCTTCACGGGTCACTTGCGATATTAAGCCTAGTGCATAACTTAATGAATGTCAGAAAGCTTCAGGCCCCGATTTCTCGAAACAAACTGAAGTTTTTACTCAAATTTCAAACTGAGTTTGAAACAGCTGAATTTTAACTCATTCTAAAATATAAAAGCCCAAACAACTTAATTAAGCTATCAACAAAACACAACTTCTCTCATATGTTTGAGTTTAATTTCGATTTCAGTTCATTCTGGCCAATGCATTTTCCTGCGTTTTCTCAAGTTTGAGTAAGAACTCTAAGTTAAGTCAAAACTCAGACTTAAGTTTGTTTCGAGAAATCGGGGCCAGAGAGGTTTCACCAAACTCTTAAGAAGACGATACGAACTTACTGGTTTGAGACTAAGAAGGATTTGGATAATATCACTAAAATTGTAATTTTTTCTCTGCTTATACTGACTGTGTTAGTAATCTCATCACATTCTTTAACCACAGAGGTGTACTATTACGTGATCTATACCTTACTAAGACTACGATCTGTACAAGTCACCTGTGTGCAGAATATGATTCCCAGAAGGAACACTACCAGACAGTATCCTCCTGTTACCAGCATCCTCCTCGTCCCCAACTGACGCGGATACTGATCAATGAGAGTAGAAACTAGGACTTCAATTGCCAGGAACTGGAAGAACAACAGTTAATTGTTCAGCTTGCGGATTACGAGGGAAATACAATGCATAAAAAAGAACAACCACAAAATCATATTTTGGTGATATTGGAAATATGATTTGATTTAGTTGTTGAGGTGTCAAAATAAAAACTGGACATCTGTCGTGCACACTGTCTGGTCCATATACCCAGTATTTCTGGTGAGGTTGGCGTTGATGAGTTCTTTCACGTCGATGGGTAGGTACCCTTATGTAGCTACCTTGGGCGGCGGTAGTACAAGATCTGGGTCAGTCACGAGTAGAGCATAGCTTTTGACATCCACATTCACATCTTATGATCATATCTGATCAACCTGGTCCAATAGTCGGACTTTTTTGTCACGTTTCTGCCCTTTTTCGTTTCTTTCCTGACAATATATTCAGCACAGCATTCCTTACCCCTGTTACAGTTTTATCTTCATAATGTTTGGTACGTGTAGTCGGTTGGTGAGTTGGTAAAGTTGTTCAGGACATCAATATTAATCCATGTCGTTCCCGGTATTCAGCTTTAGGAACACACATGTCTCTGCTGCTTGAGATATGGCGAACAATGATTGTCTCAGTTCTCGAACTATCGGGGACGCGAGTGACCATACTTCACATATGACTCATTTCGGTTATTCGTTGCTAACAATTCTGGAAAGACTATTGGAATTACAGATGTGTCAGCACCTTAGCTGCGCTCATGGGTTTCACTCAAGTGGCAAACGTGTGAGAATTACTTCATCTCGGATTATATCACTGAAATACTATTCAAAGATCCGTTTAACTAATCTCATTCACACTAACAATATGTTAAGGCTAGAACACTTGGGAAATTGTTTGCGTTAGTTTCCTACCCTTCTTCCACGGCAAGATGATATATTTTTTAAACCGGCAGAAAGGTGAAAAACCAAAAAGATCCATGTGGTGACGGACAAAAGAAGCCCACAACAAAGACAACCTACACCTGAAAAACTGATGTAATTCTTTGCAAGGATATAATTAACCATGACCTCAGATTTCCGATTCTGGTGTTATAAACCATTTACGAGTGTCAAGGTATAGCTGAATATTGAGTCAAGAATGTACCAGATACTATTGACCACGCAGTACCTGTGTGTCCAGTCCAACCATCAATAGCATCAGAAAGAACAGGAATGACCACAGTTGAGGAAGTGGAAGTTGGGCCAAAGCTGCTGGATAAGTTACAAATCCCAAACCAGGACCTTCAATGGAAAGGCAAAAATTTAATGTAACGTGACATTGCTTAAATGACAAACATTTATATTATTTGTATATGTGAAATCTGAGAGAATGTTCACGGAAAAGCCCAGGCAACCCAAATGACGTTGGTATCCATGGGGATGAATTTCAAGATGTTGTTGTTGCGACGTCACCAACGACCCCAACGTCAGTTGGTCTTCCAGCATGTTAATGAACGTCCTCATGCAGCAAGAATGACACAAGTTTTCACGGTTCATGGATGGTGTGATGACTATGAACCAGATTCGGACCTCATTACACATTTGTTGGATGAACTGGCGAGAGGGGCTTAACGATGTCAGCCACCACCAGCCAACTTGCTGATTTGACCACATATCCGTGCTAGTGTCAGGTCCGATGGAGGCCACACACAACACTGGCTCTGTTGACAGGGGTGCAACCTTTTAGGAACTACTGCACTAAGCCTGAGTGGCAACATCACATGTTTTCTGTCCGGGAATTATTGCATAATCACCATGCCATTTAGAAACTATTAACATTGATAAATTGCTATCTATGTTATTTTTCTTCCTCAAATCGGTAATGCGTATTTCAAAGTATATACGTATAAATGAATAATGTATATAACATACATGCCTTCTGGAAGATGATATTTATCTTGTATCATAGATCTGCAGTAAATACTTACTGAACTTGCTTGGACTATTTCTATGAGCCTTGAGGTGACTTGTTTTAAAATAGATCTATAAACATGCAATGTCTGTGGGAGGAACAACGTACGTGTCAAGAACAACTTCTCCTATTATTCAGTGGTTGTCAAATTCAGAGAAAATGCTAAATTATCTGTACTTGAACAGTGCAGATAAGGTACCTACCATTTGCCACAACAGTCTCAATGGGAACATCCGCTTTCTGTGACATGAACCCGAGGGTAGCAAACGTCACGAGGCCAGAGAAGATACTGGTTCCTTCGGAGACTATTGTCAGTATGAGGGAATTTCTGTGAATGTACACATGTACATGTTTTCGAGATAACCGCAAAAATCCCTATTATTAGTTTTCTGGAAAATGTCCAGGTTTCATCAATAAAGCAACGCAGAACAACTCTCTGTGATTGTATTGCGGGCATTGGAGGATTTGCCTCTCTACTACAATAACACCTTAAACAGAATATCCAATGATTCTAGCTTTGTTCTTTTCAACACACTTCCGGTCTGATGATGTCTTTTCAAAGCAAGAAACCTTTATGACTTAGGTTTAAATCATGATCACATTTTCTTAATGTTGGACTGCTTTTATTGTCGAACAAATATTACGTTTGGAGACAAAAATTAGTCATGGTTTCTATTAAAGATAATCACATGCAATTATTATACTTTGGGCATTACGTGACTGGTTAAGTTGGTGCTGCTTAAACAATTGCACGGATGTGCTGATTACTCACTTCAGACATGATTCATGGAAGCTGTTGTAGCTCGCAGCAGTGCCAATCATCCCAAAGCCAACTCCCAGTGAATAGAACACTTGCAAACATGCTTCAAGCCACACCTGTAGGCATGAAATTCATAGTCCGGTCTACACGTATGATTTAGTTCAGTTGAATAGTACTCAACAGTCAGTATGTCTTCCTCAGAATCACAGACAAGTAGCAATATGACAGGGAATATGTTACCATCTTTTCTCTGTGTTTTTTTTTATTTCTAAAATAATGCCAATTTTACTCCCCTGTGTTGGGAAATATAGGCTTCCAAAGACGGTACATTACATTGCTGGTAATGACTGACTCCAAATGCTAGTGTCTGGGGATTTGTAAGATACCTTATATGTACAATTCCATCTGTGTGATACTGTTGTTATGACCCAGTGATGTAAGTAAGGTTACTTGGTGTACATCCTACCCAACTGGTTGCCCACCTGTATATCGAGAAGTTTGTTGAAGTCCGGGATGACGTAGTGGTACAGACCATCTAGAGCACCTGGCTCTTGCATTACTGTGATGAAGATGGAGACGAGGAGGACGTACGGCAGGAGTGCGGTCACATACACAGCCTGTAGTCAGGAACAAATCCTCACATGTTTTTCCTGTCTAATATTAGGGATGTTTTCTTACTTCGGTTGTCCTATTTCTTGTTTTATTCATACACTATGAATTTAACGCCACAAAACCATCACTGTACCGAGTATCTACTGATCAGTACAAGGTCTCCATGAAAGTTGGAGATGGTATTTCCTCAACTCCATTTTGTTGTGACCATGTTTTCGTGTTCAAGCTTTCGTGTTCGTGTTTATTTCGTAGTCATGTACGTTATGATAACGGAATGAAAGTTGAATCATAGATTAAGATTAATAGTCACAACAGCAAATATTTTAGATTTAATTACTAGTTTTATATTTATATCAAGTTGTTTAACTGTCCTTCGATGATTTTAGAAATAACCTTTATTTGTTAATATATTTATAACTCGATTTAGTCACGATATGGCTGAAATATTGCCGATGTGACTTAAAATCTTAACTCACTCACTCACTGTACCAGAAGGTATCAAACTTGGACTTGCAAAGATGTCAGTGGAACAGGTGTGGGGGAAACTGGGTTTTTCACCCTACACATATTCATTTACAACACACGATGCATCGCAAACAGATTTGTCTCATATTACAATTCAGGATATGTTTTTCATTAGAATTACCTTACCAGAAGACTTGATTCCACGAATTACACATAAAAAGATTATTACATAGGATGCACACAGGCATCCAACTATGTGCCACTGTACAGCTCCCACGTCCTCCAATCCAGATGAGACATTCAGCACATTGTACCTGAAAATCACATATTGGCTATGTTAGTTTGACATAGAGCAGCGTATGGGCGATGTATGTAATATTATGTGTTCTGACGCGCCTATCGGATGCAACATTCGGCTGGTCAAGCATGTCTAAATTGAACAAGTATACATCTGAAATATCTCAATTACAATAATTACTAAAGGCCGTCTTGTTATATATACACCTGTGAGCGAAACGCATAAAAGGTCATTCTTGTTATGGTATCCCGTAGGTCAGATTCATGCCTTTGAAAAAGGACAGTCATTTTAAGTATCAATCAATCAATCTTTATTTCAGTACTTTAAAAGGGCACAGGCCTGTAGTACATTTAGAGTTTACATGAGTAGATAGAAGTCATTTATAAATTCTTTTCTGCAACAATACTTTCTCTTAATCTCATAGCGAAATAGATGTACATTGCCAGATTCTGTAATATTGATGTGGTAGTATCTGTTAATAGTGAAATTAATGTTCTTACACTTGGATGCTTATAATAGTATGGCTTTAGGTATTTTGTTCGTAGAGTTGTATAAACAGGACAGATTAGAAGAAAATGTTGTTCATCCTCAACAGTACTCATATCACATAACTGACATATTTTGTTTTCTCTTTGTATACCTGCATACCTGCCAGTTTCAATAAATAATTCATGGGAAGAGCAACGAAAACGAGAGAGAGCTATACGGAACTTCTTTACGCCGAGTTTTGCTAAATAGTCTTCAAAACGTATGTCCGATTTCCATTGATTATAGTATAAACATTTTGTGGATAGAAATTTTGTGATTCCGACCAAGACTGGAAATAGATATCTTTCATTCTTTGTGTAAATGATATGATAAAATTGGTATGCAACTGAACATTGTGATCACACCACACATAACCATAACCAATTTTGTACAACAACTCCCTAATATCACTCACCCAATTTATTTTCCCATTTTCGTCATACAATTTCATCATATCATAACATTTTTTCGGAAACCTATGGCATGGCATATGCAGTAATCTTACCCAATACTTTATGGCTTTAATGGAAGAGTATAGAAACAAGGGGAATCTACCTAATTCTCCGTAAACCATCCTATTACATGTGTTCGGTTTTACACCAAGAAACTTTTTGCATGCATATAAATGAACTCTTTCAGTACTGTCATATTGTTGTAATCCCCATATTTCAGAGCCATATAGAAGTATTGGACTTATCTTCATATCGAATATTTTAAAGAATGTGTTAAAGGACATTTCACCCAACGATCTCATATTTTTACAAACACCGATTAGGATTTTCAAGGCTTGTGCTGACGCTTGTTTTGTGTGTTTGGACCAGGAAAGGCTATTACAAAAATATATACACCAAGATACTTATAAACACTGGTAGTTTTGAGTAGTTGCCTTTTATAATACCATTTTTCTCATTTAGAGAGCTTTCCACCTTTCTTAAAGACGATAATTTTGGTTTTGTCTCTGTTTACACACAATTTATATTGGTCAGAAAATTTGTCTAATTCATCTATTTGTTTCTGTAAACCGCTAACAGTTCTAGAGAATAGTACAATATCATCGGCAAAGAGTAGCAGAAATAGTTGTATTGTATCTGGGTGTAGTTGAATCCCATTCGTACATGTGTCACATATTTGTATTGCTAATTCATTAATGAAAAACGTAAAAAGGAAGGGATTAAAATACAGCCTTGTCTAACACCTAGTTCACTAATGAAAGGTTCAGATAATTCATGCTGATTCCTTACACACACTTTAACATTTTCGTATATACTCTTCAACATTTTATTCATTTTACTACTAAGACCGTGCGATTGTAGAAGTCTCCATAGTTTATCCCGCTGCACAGAATCGAAAGCCTTTGCAAAATCAACGAATAGTGCGTAGAACTGTCCACCTTTTGAGCTGAGGTATCTTTGTATTAGGCTATACAGTATAAAGATATTATCTGTTGTTGTATATCCCTCCCTAAAGCCCGCTTGACCCTCGTATATCTGATCCATGACGTCAGTCCATTTAACTAATCTTTTGTTGATAATGTAAGTAAATAACATGCCAAAAATACTAAGTACAGTTATTCCACGGTAGTTATTGGTATATTTAGGGTCACCCTGTTTATAGACTGGAAGAAGAATGCCAACTGACCAAGATTCAGGAAAGTTCCCAGTGTCGAGGATAATATTGAAAATAAGCTCCAGATATGGAAGTAAAAGATCAGATGAATGTTTGAAAAATTCCGGGAGGATGTTGTCTAATCCTGGTGACTTATTACACTTTAGATGTTGTATACTGTTACGTATTTCATCTCTACTTATTGGGGCATCCAATATGTCGGAGGCTACACCTGAAAAATGAGTAGACTCAGTATCGTTCACATAGTCTTGTCGATTTGGATCTGGGTTGTTATCAGAGGTAGAGAATAATGACTGAAAGTAATTGAACCATTCGTCGATTTCAATGTTATTATTTTCGCTTTTCTTAGGATTTAGTGTTTTAAGTTCATACCAGAATTTTTTCGCATCATTTATATTATTTTCTAGTTTTTTTCTTTTCTGTTCCATAAATGCCTTTTTCTTTTCCTTGCAGGTTGTATTATATCTGTTTCTAGCTTAGTGATATCTCTCCAGGGATTGCAGGTTTTATCTTTTCGGAAGGAGTTAAGAAATTGACACCGTTCTTTTTTTAAATGATTACATTCTTCATCATACCAGATATTCGTATTATGTTTTTCTGAAAAGGGGAGTATCCGTCTTTTCATATCAAAAGCAGCTAGACACAATGCTTCTACGACATAATCTACACATTGACTTATATCAGTGAATGCTACATCAACAGATTTATCAAATAAGTCTTGTATATCATCCGATAGTAGATTATTTCTGAATTGCGACAACATCTTGCTATTCCAAACAAATTTGTATGCTTCATGATCAGATTTATATTTACCACTCATTGTCTTTGGCTGTACTGGTGGGTGATGCGCACGTAAATCTAAGGTTAACGGGAGGTGAGAGGGCTCTGCTTTAGTAGGTATAGCAAAATCTAGCACTTTGTCAAATAAATGTGCAGAAGCTAAGACAAAGTCTATTTTAAGTATCATTGAGGTAAATGTGGAGATGGCATCGACCAAATAATCTCCCCTCGGTGAGATGTGTAAACCACATATATTTAGCCCAACGAGGTAGGAGTGTGTGATTTTAATAATAATTTCGTAATAAGTAAAGGTATACTATGAACCTGCCAGTAGGACAGTAAAAACAGCTAGAAGACGCAGATATAAATGTAAAACTAGTAATTAAATCTAAAACATTGTAACTATAGATGGCAAAACAATCTAAAAACAGGCTGTAGATTGCCAACAACTAAAGTATATCACCATACTTGGGACCATGGGGACTTACAGTACATTTGTTTCCTGCATGGATCCTAGCTGGATTTAACCACCCCTTCAGATGTCAGCAATTGTAGACGAATCTGGCCATAAATTGTAGTAACGCATATACTACGATTAAAAACTGGCAGATGGACTTGCATAGCCTCTCAGGGGGGATATTAGCTTTATGGCACTTCAACCTTCAACCTCTGGTCTGACTACCCAAGCAGGTGTTCATTGCATGTAATATATTGATACCTACTTGGGTGTCCCAATTCGTCTGCATAAGATCACGGTTGTTATATCTAATCACAGCTTATATAATCAGAGTTTGTTGGACAGAGCAAGCATGCAGTAACCAGAAAGAAATACCACAATATGCAAAGACTTACGCTAGAGCAACGATCGGTATGGCCACTATAGGGATTTTGCAACGCCAGCTGACAAGAACCTTCAACTACAATTTGATAAACTGCTACCAGCAAACAGGCTAGACCCAGTACCACCCAAGATCGGGAAGACCAGGAATGACGACACTGGTCGAAGACCGCTACATCCAGCAGATCCACCTCCGGAACAGATTCGTGACGGCGACAGCACCATCAGCAGACGAACAGTCCTAGACAACTTCAGTTCAATGACCTTGACCCGTCTACACTGTCAACACATACTGCAATTGACATGAACTGTTCGTCGGTTGCAGCGACAAGACTGGCAGAGTGGTCAATACAGATGAAAGTAGGTTCACTTTCTTCAGAAACGAAGTCAGAGTTCGAGTTTTTCAACGTAGAGGAGAGCGACTGGCACCAAACTGCGTTCAATAAGTCCATCCTTACAATGGAGGAGGTGTGATGGTATGGGCGACACTTGTGGCCAGAGACCAACAGGACCAGGGCCCCGTTTCACAAAGCTCTCGTAAGCTTAAGATCTCGTAACTTTTGTCGTAGCATTCGTACCTCCTATGTTACAGTATAGGAGGTACGAATGCTACCGGAAGGAACTTGAACACTTATTGAAAAGGATTCCTGCTGTCGTCATTCGTCGACTTACGACGTCAATGAGGAGATGTGTGTTGGCGTGTATGGATGCCCACGGTGGTCATGTTCGATATTGATGTCGTGTCTCCTGACTTCTGTCTCATTATTTGACTCTTTAAGCTTTTGAATGGATTCTGATTTGTGTGCTTTGATCCCTTGACTCTATCTTAATGAACTGTGGCAAGTGCAATACCAGCATTACAATGAATTTTCAGTTGCATTATTGGAAAACGATTTCTGTTTGTAAAATAAACATAATAGATCTCACATACGTTTTTGTTTCTATTTGTGGGTCAAGTGAAGTCGGTGATACCTTCCTTTTGTTGGTAGTGTATATCTCACCGAAAAAATTCCTCAGCAGGTGTGCGAGCCAAAGTTCCATTTTCCCCATGCTCCGATAAGGTGATAGTTACTGATGTATTCCCTGCCATATTTGTCCCGTTACTATTGTAGGTTGTATTCTCGTCTTCCACACATAGGGCGGTGTTCCAGGTGTTGCCACAAGTTGTCCAGGGCAGGACGCTGGAGCAGGACTTCACCATGTAGTAGATGGACCAGGCCAGGAAGAGGGTGTAGTAGGGCATGTACAAACAGTTCATCAATAGAGAGCCAACACCAACCCCTAAATATAAAACAAAACTCCAATCAGACATCGACCTGACCACCTAATGTCATTACTCTAATGGCTACTTCTCACAACCAGAATACGTTGCTACTGACTAAATGTAACCTAGATCCATTCGGATAAATAGGATTACCTTTGTCTTTTTGGTAATTTAGTTCCTATTCAATCCTGTTTTCAGATAATAAACCTTACCTAACTGTTGGACATGCTAAGATAGGTAGCGTACTGTTTCATAGATGGTTCAACAACCCCTTGCAATGGTGTTCATTCTGTAACAACGTTCCATGCCCTTTGCTACCTTTCAAAGAGTATATAGTGATATGTCTACACATTGTAGCACTCATGAAGGTGACAATATAGAAATAATCAGTAGTTATAGAACCGTCACTTCGTCACTTAGATACTGATCCTGTATAGTCAATGATTATATAATTAGACACTGACCTTTAAGCATGGGACAGAAGCTCCAAACTTGCTTTGCGCCTTTCCCAGAAAACTGACAGATGGTCGCCTCTACGAAGAACGATGGGAACCCAGTGATACAAAGGAGCAGGATGAAGGGGATGAGGAAAGCTCCTGGAAAAAATATGTAGTTCCAGTTTTAGGTAATCGCATAAGCTTCAAATTAATATATTTATTTCTGAATGTTTGTCAGCGAAGTAGGTAAAGTGTTTATGGAATTGTGTTGTTTGTCTCCACATAACAAGCATGCATGAATGATGTAACATTGTTTTGTGAACACATAATCTTTATTTAGCCAAGTATGGATCAGGATATCGTGAGAAGCATCTTACCAGGTGTGATAACTAAGTAAAGTCGAGCAGATGCGAAAACATGGACCACAAGAGAATATGAGATTTTCTATTAATGTTGCCAATTCTGCCCTTGCCAGCTGTTATTCAAACTCTGGATTGTCTTCAGAGAAAGAACTTTGGGAGAGTTTTTTTGTAGGCCTGAACTCAAAGTCTACTCTCACCAAAGATCTTGGATAGTGATGAAGGTGCAGTGATTTAAAGGTGCAGTGTGTTTACGTTCCCAAATCATCCAATATATTGGATTCTTGTTTAGCATAGAATTAAAAAATCCCTTTTTATGATAAGCAAGTTATGTTTTGCCATGTTGATTCACATGGAATAGATGCAACTCCTTGTGACTTGATAGAAGCATCTGTATGGGTAAATCAACTGACGTTATCCTTCCAGATCATTGTTGTGCTGACGTCGGTCTCGCCAAGACGCTTGTTCAGTTCTTTCATGATGAGATAGCAAACATCAGTGGATCCCTTCGAAACACATCTGTTGAGACACAGTCTCTCCTGCAGCTCAACTATCGTCAGTTTCCTTCAATTTAATGAAGATGACACCTTCAAATTTATCCAGAGCTCAAAACCGACATCATGTTCTATAGATCAAGTACCCACCAAACTACCTCTAGAAGTGACTGGCAGTCTGCTGCGAGATATCACGATCGTCACCAATTTGAGTCTTGAACCTGGTATTGTGCCTAAAACATTCCAAACTGTCTTTGTCAAACCCCACATCAAGAAAACATCTCGATCCCCAAACTCTGCAAAAGTACCGGCTGGTCTCCAACCTGCTTTTCCTGTCCCAAATCTTATCAAAACAGGGCCCAATCTCAATGCACACAGCCACTTTGGCAAGTTAAACTTGGCTTATAGAGCAGATCGCAGTACTGAAGCTGCCTTGAAAAGATCTAGGGGTCATCGTGTATAATGGTGACTTTGCAATGCTGGTACTTCTCGATCTGTCCTCGGCATTCGACACCATTTACCATGACACCTTAACCACACGCCTACTAAGTGACTGTGGTTTTGATGGTGTGGTCCTGAAATGGTTAGCTTCTACCTCACCGATCGTTACAAATATGTTACAATCAATGGTTCCAACTCAGACTCAAAAGGTCTAAACTGCGTGTTCCCAAGGTTCTGTACTTGGCCTCGTTTTGTTTATCATGTACACAAGACCAATCAGTAATGTCATCTCATCAGTGTCCACTATCACTTCTACGCGGACGACACCCAGTTGTCTGACACGTGTGGTGTGGATGCTACATCTCAGGAACACTGCACCAGAACCATGGAAACATGCATAACAATGTGCAATCCTGGATGATGGTGAACGCCGAGAAAACAGAGACTATGATGATTAGTCCTCCAGTTCGCCTTGGGAAGTTTGAATATAACCACATAACAGTTGATGGATCTGATATTCCCTTCTAATCCTGTCTGAAAGACCTGGGAGTTTATCTCGACATCTCACTCTCCATGGAACAACAAGTTACAGCCATAGTCAGAAATTGCTACTTCTACATTGACAAACGTCGGCAGCATCCGCATCTCCAGAGCAGATACATCGCCTACAGAGGATCCAGAATACAGCTGCTAGGATTGTAACTAGATCACCAAAGCATTGCCACATCAAACTGATTCTTAAGTCCCTGCACTGGCTTCCAGTCCAGAAGAGAATCCTGTTCAAGGTCTTGACACTCACCTATCAATGTGTCAACGGAACAACCCCAAGCTATTTGTGCGAATTGGTCAGCGGGTATCATCAAGCCAGAAGACTCAGATCATGTTCACAACATAATCTTGTCATTGCACAGTCACCCAATTCAAACGTCAGCTCAAAACATTGTTATTCAACTAGCACTTTGTTTCCACCGGTGCTTCTCTGACATGTGCTTTCTACTCTTCCTGTGGCGCTCTGAGCATACATGTATATGGAATTAAGTGCCATATAAGCAACCTTATTATTATTATATCTTACAGATTAAGATAAAAGTGCAACTGAGAGGGTGCGGGTGATCCTGGCAAATCAGGCTGGTAAGGCTCATCATCAGCTCAGGACCCTTGCCCCCTGTACACAGCGAATGGGACTTCTCCCAGGAAACACTGCCTAGTCTAACCCACAAGAAACTTTCTGCAGAATATGAAGGCTCCCGAACACTGCAGCCTTCTGCATTACACAGAGTGTCAGAAGGGCTGTGCTCCCGGTGGAAAAGCCGGGCACTCTCCTGATCTGCGCCAAGAGATCAGGAGGTATCAAACCAAGGACACCGAGAACAATGGTGAGCCTGACGACAGTGTACTTGGGATGCAAGCGAGACATTTCAAAGGCGAGGTCCGCATATTTATCATGCTTTTCCTGAATCTTGCCAATCACATTGCTGTCAAAGGGACAGAAACTTCAATGATATAAATAAATTCATTGGCTTTACAAAAAAGGTTTATAAAAAAGGATCAGGTTTGTTGGCTGGAATTCTTCGGAGGCTGTATATCGGCCTATTCCAAAGGAGTTTAAAAGCATCATTTCCATGACGTCCTGTACATGTTCAGGGTCGCACCATGGATGGACCTCAGAGTCAAAGCGACAGGCAATGCGGAAACGGTAGTAGGAACAACGAGGTCTTTTAAGACATGCTGTTTGTGCCAAGGAAGGCATCCACTGACAAGGTGTTGGAACGTCTCTGTACATGCATTACACATTCGACATTTCATGTTGATATTTTCTTTAAGAATCAAATTTTAGCGATTGTGAGTGGGAAGTGACTGGTCCTAGGCAGCAAAAAAGTCCTCAGTTTCACATTTAAGTCCAGACGACTTCATCCAGGCGAAGGAGCCGGTGGGATTACTGTTCTGTTCCACACACTGCATGTACTCACGATACAATGGTTTCTCAGAAAGCTTCTCGACAAATGACCGACTCTGGGCAGACTTGGTGAATAACTTTACCTGGTTTACTCCCATCGTTGTATCGTCCACCAGTACATTGCCATCAATAAAATCAATCTAAAATTTCAGATGTTGTGCAACAACCTTAGCACTCTTAACATAGCTGTGGAATTCCTTGGTTTGATCATGAGTCTTGACATGCATCACCAGAGGATCATCCGATAAATAATATGCAAGACTATTATTATACAGGTCTGTTGACACGGAATGGTTGAGTCATACACACTGAATGAAACTTCATAAATTATCTAAGTCAGTGCAGGGTGTACAGAGTAAAGAACATGTCTTTGTGTCGAGCAATATCTGACAGTTTTGTTACTTCTTATTTGTATCCTGGACATAAGGAGATGAATGACAGTGGCGAATGACGCACATACCATGTTGATGGTAGTATCAGTGTCCAAACATTATCCCATAATGCACCATAAAGACTCAAATTCAAATGTATCTGATAAAGTTATGAAGTGGAATGTATTGTAAATTACAATATCAAATTTATTCGAACTAACTGAAAAGGTGAAGTAGTTCCTAAATAGATATGTACTACACTAAAAAGACGTACTGGAGCGGAGTAGAGGCATTGTTCTGGGTCATTTTGGAATCTTGTTTTGTGAATAATTGAAATTATTTATTTTCTGCCGTTGACCTTTATATACCTCATACCATTACGATATTATTCCTTTTCAGTTGAAACTATGATTTTATCAAGTAGAAACACTTAAATATTAACCGGTTTTGTTTGTCTCTTTGGGTTTGGGGTAATGTTTTCCCCACTTGTTGATGATGTCACCAGGCGATTCCCAGGTTGCAATGCAAAGGTGGCATACAGAGCTAATTCTAACGATTACAATAGATCTCCTGCCTTTTAGGCATGCAGCCCTATTTACAAAATTATACTGAAACGCGCATGATAAGGATTACGATGACAATGTGGCAGGAACAAAGTAATGTAACCGTACATTCTCGGTATTGAACAACAATGAGTTATTAAAGGGAGTACAACTGACTTCGGCTCTCGCTCGGGACCCTTCTACTGTGTGGCTGATGATGTTGTTTTAATACTTTCTACATGTGGTATTCAGAGAGGGGCAGTGGTGTGCTATGTTAACACTTGTACCAGATTTAGACAGGACGATCTGGTAAAGGCTATGAGGAGCATATTCCCGAATCATCCGACCTTGTGTCGAACTTTCCAGCATAAGGATATCATAAGGATAGTTAACTATTGCCTTTCATCCCACATTACATATCAAGTTACTAGAAGATCAGCACTGTGTGTGATGATCATTATACACTGTCAGGCCGAGATACTTTCCCTATTGCCACAAAGACTGCTCTTGTATTGTATTACCCTTGAATGTGTACTGCCACCGTGATACATTTGTATTGATTAGTTAATATTAGGATACAATCGTTTCACACCTGGTTCTTTTACGGATTGATTCCCGGTTAAGTTTTTAGTTTAGTTTCAAGGGGGGGGAATCAAAATGTAAAGTGACCCTTTGTTGGATAGCTATGTTACAATAGGTAATAAGTCCCGATGGTAGATCAAATTTGTACACAAGGTATTCTTTCCCAGAATGGGAGATAAGGAGTTAATCCTTTGGTGTAAACAAGAGGGGCAGTTCATGAGAAATCACGTGCCTTTCATTCAGTTATAGCAATCATCAGAAATAGCTATCAATGATCTACTGCCACAAAACAATATGTAGATATAACACCCCTACCTCCACCGTTTCTGTTGCAGATATAGGGAAACCTCAGAATATTTCCTAATGCAACACAGAAGCCAACCATTGTCAGCATGTAGTCCAGATGTTTGTTCCATGATTCTCTCTGCCGTGTGGGTTCACTTCTGTTTTCTTCTTGACCAGAAACCTCCGTCATAGGAACTCCTGCACCACTGTCCTCCTGGCTTGGCAGCATGGTCAGTACTGGATGTTGTTTCAACCTGTAAGGCAGTTTGACATTCAACACAGAGTGAGTGAGTGAGTGAGTTAATATTTAACGTCACATCGGCAATATATCAACCATATCGTGACGAAAACCATTTATACAATAAAAAGTGAAAACATTTTGAAGATTAAAACCTGTCAACGATGGACAGTAAAACTACTAGAAAATCACAGATATAAATATAAAACTAGCGATCAAAGCTAGAACATTCCAATTAAAGAAGACAATACAATATAAATCACGGGCTATAGATCGCCAACAACTGAAGGTAGATCACCATACTAGGAATCATGGGGACTTATATTACTTTTGCAACCTGCATGGAGCCTAGCTGGATTTAAACCACCCCTTCAGCCGCTGGCTATTGTAGGATAATTTAGCCGAAATTTAAAAGAACAAAAATACTACGTTTAAAAACTTGGTACGAGAAAATTTCACTTTGAAAGTTTTTGGGACTTACGTGCCCTCTCAGGAGGACAATAATTTTATGCTACTTCAACCCCCTTTGAGGATACAGCCACTAACAATCTAAGTTGATAATCTAAACTACCAATTATTAAACTTTATCTATATACAACACATATATCAAAATTCATTTAACAAATCTATCTCTTTTAAAAAATCGATGATGAAACGATAATTAACTTTATTAAAAAGGTCCTTTACTGTTTTGATATTGAAATATTTATCCCTTATAATAGAGAATTCAACACAGTCAAGCAGGACATGCTTGACCGTGGTTCTCTCATCACAAGGGATACAAAACGGAGGATCCTCACCTTTCAATAGGTATGCATGAGTATATCTTGTCTGGCAATACGACATCGTCGCATAATGACCTCTTCAAATCTGGACTGACAATCCAAGTGAGTGTAACCAATATAAGGTTTTATTTCATGTAATTTATTGATACCAACTTGGGTGTTCCACTTCTTCTGCATCAGATAACGGATGTAAGTTCTAATGCAAGATTTGTAATCAGAGTAAGGAAGAAGAAGTGGTGTCACAGACTTGTTGAGTGCTGCCTTGGCAGCAAGATCAGCCATTGTATTCCCAGAAATGCCAACGTGGCTGGGTAACCAACAAAAGACGATGTCGCATTGGCCAGTAGCAAGCTCATTATACAATTCAATAATTTCTAATAAAAGTGGATGTTTACAAGAAAGATTTTTAATAGCCTGAAGACACGAAAGAGAATCGGAAAAGATTATGTATTGTTCATATTTACGGTGTTTATTAATATATTTAAGAGCTGTTAATATGGCGTTAGCTTCTGCTGTGAAAATAGAGCTGGGATCCAATGACAGTGGCACATGCAACCGCGCCACCATCCTTGGACCCATCTGTAAATACGGATTTGTATGTATTATATTTATTTTTTAATTGATTTTATTCTTGTTTATACTGTAATTCATTAGTTTCAGATTTCTTAAAGTTTGTCAGAGTTAGGTCAACTTCAGGCCTCACCAGTTGCCAAGGAGGAGAAGAAAGAAGACGGGAAGGAGATATATTCTCCAGCTCAATGCCGGCAGCAGAAATGAATGGTTTAATTCTTAGCCCAATAGGCGGAACAAAAGAAGGCTTTTTGTTGTATGAATCCTCATAATGAGGATTGAAAACACAGTTAAATGCAGGATTAGACTCGTTAGAATAAAGTTTTGTTATATACTGTAAAGATAATTTGATACGACGTTGGTTAAGGGATGGCTCATCAGCCTCAACATAGAGACTATCAATAGGAGAGGTTCTAAAAGACCAAAGACAAAGTCTTAGGCCTTGGTGGTGGACAGAATCAAGTAGTTTTAGGTTGCTTTTGCAGGCTCCGCCATATACGATGGAGCCATAATCAAGTTTCGAGCGGACCAATGATAGATATAGGTGGAGGAGGGTAGCTTGATCCCCTCCCCACTTTGAGTTGGAAACAACTTTCAACAAATCAAGGGCCTTCAGGCATTTAGTTTTAAGGGATTTAATATGCGACAAAAAAGTTAAATGGGAGTCAAAAATTAGACCCAAGAACTTGGCCTCCTTGACAACTTTGAACGATGTGCCATTTAAAGATAGTTCTGGGTCTTTATGCGGCTTATATTTTCTACAAAAGTGTAGACAATTAGTTTTGGACTTGGAAAACTTAAAGCCGTTTTCAAGACACCATTTATTTATTTTATTTAAACACAACTGCAATTGACGTTCATTAGTATGCATAATTTTACCACGACAAGAAACATTAAAATCATCCACAAAAGGTGATCCTTCGATTGATTCGTTTAAAACCTTGGATAAACTGTTTATCTTGATACTAAATAAAGTGACAGACAAAATACTGCCTTGAGGGACACCCTGATCCTGATTGTAATGGTCAGACAGGGTTGAACCCACTCGGACTTGAAATTGTCTGTCTTTTAAAAACTGTGATATAAAAAGAGGCAAACGGCCTCTCAAACCGAAATCATGTAAATCCTACAAAATGCCATGCTTCCAGGTCGTATCGTAAGCTTTCTCAAGATCAAAGAAAATTGATACAGCATGTTGTTTATTTTACTATAGCATTCTTAACAAAGGATTCTAAGCGTACCAAATGATCAATGGTACTACGATTTTTCCTGAAACCACATTGAATATTTGTTATAAGGTTATTGGTTTCAAGATACCAAGTTAATCTATTATTCACCATACGTTCCATGGTTTTACAGGACACAGCTAGTTAGAGATATCGGTCTGTAATTAGACGGATCTGTATGATCCCTGCCAGGTTTTGGTATTGGGACTACAATGGCATTACGCCACGAAGGAGGAAATTCTCCAGACGTCCATATTTGGTCAAATATATCTAAAAGTGTCATCAGACATGGTTCCGGTAAGTGTTTCAGTAGCTGGTAACGTATATTATCATCACCGGCTGCAGTGTCATGAGCTTGCTCAAGAGCAGTATGTAGCTCATGTAATGAAAACACTTTGTTATAATCTTCACCGTTATTTGATTCGAAATTAAGTTTTGTCTTTTCCTGTTGTTTCTGATATTTCTGAAACTCAGGGACATAATTTGCCGATGATGATTTTTTGGCAATTTTATTTGCAATTTTAGACTTGTCAGTAATTGAATTATCACCATCTTAAAGATGGTGAACAGCAGATTTTGAACCTTTGCCTTTAATTCTTTGAACCATGTTCCATACCTTAGACATGGGCGTGCGTGAATTAGTTTTTGAGACATAATTTCTCCAAGATTGTCGTTTGTTTTGTTTAAAGGTACGACGCGCCTTCGCATTGTGTATTTAAAATTTATTTAAGTTATGGACAGTTGGATGATGGCGGAAATAACGCTGTATGACAGTGGTCTGTAAATAATTGAATCTAGACCAGACAATCAAGTGACTGACACCATGAGCACGAGTGAGTGAGTGAGTATGGTTTTACGCCGCTTTTAGCAATTTTCCAGCAATATCACGGCGGGGGGACACCAGAAATGGGCTTCACACATTGTACCCATGTGGGGAAGCGAACCCGGGTCTTCGGCGTGACGGGCGAATGCTTTGACCACTGGCCTTCCCCACGCGCCCCAACTATGTATGGAATAGGGATACCATAACATTCATTAACAAATTCAGCCAGCCTGACCACACGATCCCGTTAAACAAGGTATTCATGTCATACAAGAAGCTAATACAAATTGTGATTCCTTTTGACGAGTTCACTGTATATTGACTGTCAGTCACATTTATAAATCGGTTACACGGTTCGATGTGTGGGTTATCACGTCCTTAATCCCCATGTCCAGATTACATCAGTGTCCAGCCATCTCTCCATTACATACATATCAACATTAATAAGCAATACATGAATCCAAGCTCAGTTTTCCGAATGCGATTTTTTTTGTGGAAGCCGCGGTAGCCCAAGTGGGTTAGATGGCTGACTTTGAGACTGTGTGATTCAACCCAACAAAAGTAATAGAATTTGTACTTTACTGAGAAGTGAGTGATCCCAAATATAATTTTGTAGCATAGATTTTGTAAATGATTGCCAGTGTCAGTGTCATACACAGTACAGTGAAACATGCCAACACCGGCACCTGTCTAATCCTGCACACTGTATTCCCCCAGTCAATGATTACACAGGCATATCTTATTCTGCCGAACGCCCTGTGTTCACTGTACATGTCCAAAGCACAGGTTTCCGCTCAGATGAGTACCTGTTTCACACTATGGACTGATGGGAATTTAAGCCGGCAAGTTTAGATGAGTGAACTGTCGTGTACAAGCACTCTCTTCACCCACACAGTTGAATAGATTGCAGTTAATGAACACAATTTTAAACTGCTGTTGCATAATTATGTTGTACAATTAAATTCGAAAACGCTGCATAATTATGCTTTATTATAGTCTTGAGAGAACACACGTGAAACACATCAACAACATTTTTTAAGAAACTTCTTTGTGCTGCAATTTACCTACACTCCCATCAGTTTAATAGATTGAGTTTCAAAGCTCAGAAAGCTAGAGTCTGACTCCATGTGACTCTTCACATTGGTGATGCTGAAGTTTTGCCCTCACACAGTGCGCGAAATCTGGGAGTCATTCATGATTCCACCATGTCCTTGGACGCCCATATTGTTTCTGTCAGCAAAGCTTGCTACTACAGCATTTTCAACATCAACAGAGTATGCCACTATCTTTACATTCAAATCTGCAAAACGTTGATGCACTGCCTAGAAGCTTCGAAACTTGACTATTGCAACTCACTGTACGTTAACATGTCATCCAAATCAATTAAGAAACTTCAAAGAATTCAGAACTCAGCTGCCCGATGTATCTCCCGTTCTTCCGCTATGACAATGATCTCCCCTGTGCTTCAGTCACTTTACTGGCTTCCCATATCTGCAATAATCACCATCAAACTCCTCGCCCTCACTCACGACTGTCTCTACAATGAAAACTTTCCATTCTATCTCAAAGAACTTATCTCCCCTTACT